CGGCGATCACCGGCAGCCAGTGAGAGAGCAAGATACAGAGCAGCAGGGAGTTCGGGGAGGAGTTATAGATCACATATCAACATGATATGGCATTGTTTCAACAAAAAAAGCTTCTTCTCGGTCTATTTGGACACAATAAATGGAAGAAAAATTAGTAGAAATTTGGCAGGAGCACTCGTGTCTGTTTCACCAGCTGTACCACAACCGGGTCGAAAAAAAAAGTCTCACGTGAGAACTCCGGTCTTGCACGTGTGGTGTCGCGCGTTGTTTCCTTTTCATATCTCACGCGTTTTTGTTGTGAAATGTAGTTTGCGTGCAGCGTGCTAGACAGAGTCTTTCGGCGATTTTTCTAAAGTCATGCAGTGTGAAACCTTCTGTCGCCGATCCATCGTCCAGTGTGAACACAGCAGCGACTGAATGCTGGCCAAGATAGTCATGCAGTGTGAAAAGAGCAGCGACCTGACTACTTTGAAAATCGTGCAGTCTGAAAGAGCCATAAGTCATCATGCTGTGCGTCAGGTGCGGAAGCTGGCAAGTGGAAGCTCAGCTCGTCAGTGCTCAGACCATACGCCGCACACTGCAACAAGTCGGTTTGCATGGCCATTATCCTAGAAGGAAGCCTCTTCTGAAGCTGGCCCACGAGAAAGCCTGTAAACAGTTTGCTGAAAGCAACCTGTTCAAGAGCATGAATTAATGGAACCATGTCCTGTGTGCCTGACGAGACTTGTTTGGCTCATATGGTGTCAGGGCGTACCAAGAAAATTGTGTCTTGCCTACAGTCAAGCATTGGGGTCGGAGCATTATGGTCTGGGGCTGCATGAGTGCCGCTGGTACTGGGGAGCTGCGCTTCATTGAGGAACACATGGATTCCAACATGTACTGTGACATTCTGAAGCAGAACATGATGCTCTCGCTTCAGAAACTAGGCTGAACGGCATGATAAAACGACCCCAAACTCACCGCCAAGATGACAACTGCCTTGCAGTTTGGACAACACAGTTTTGACATGTTCACTTAGGGTGTACTCACTTTTGTTGCCAGCTATTTTGCCTGCCATGGCTGACACCGCCGTCAGTGTATGAATGGGTGAATGTGATGCAATTTGTAAAGTGCTTTGGTGGCCATTGGGTTTGTGAAAGTGCCATATAAATGCAGTCCATTTGCCAATGAAAAGATAACCTTTAACACACACACAAATAAACAATCACAAAACCTGTAGAGATCAAATTGACTCCATTTTCTGGATTACACCTGTTTGGGATTCTTGGCTGCTAACTACTCACTAAAAGTAACATCTGCTTATTTACATATTCAAAGAAAGCTAATTATGAAAGCAAGAGCCATTCTCGCCACGAAATGCCATCAAGCAACGTGCGTTCACATGTCATTTCACCGGCAGCATTTTTAGATTCTATTCTTGGAATTCAATAGGAGCTTAACTTTGAGTTAATTGACTTAATTGCTTATCCTCGTACCTCAAAATTAGTATGATCTCAGACCAGAAGTCTTTTCTGCGCATTTGTGCGAGTACAAATCAAGGACGTCATTTTTAGTTACTGAGTCAGAGTATCCATGAGTCAGACTCTAAAAACAAAGCATACAGCTACAACACAATCTTTTTTAACAACTTGTGTTGAATTATTAAAGGTGTAGTTTACTGCTTTTTTTCTTTGCATGATTGTGTTTATGGGGTGTAATATAACATGTATTCGTGATTTTTCTTTTTTTTTTAAAAAGTCTTATTTTTCTTAAATTTCACCTTTATTGTAGGCCGCTTCATGAAGCCTCTGTCATTTGAACGACCGGTTGACTTCCTGAGTCTATGAAACCACTCCCTCAGAAACAAGCAGTGGGCTCAGATTGGTTGGCTACTATATACACAAACAGCGTTGGCACTGGTTTACGTTCTTGATCATATCGAAAAATAACATAAAGTATATATACATGAAAAATACATTTACAACATTAGTACATCCAAAATGTTTGTACGCGTTTTTCGTAGACACAAAATAGCATAACTAGTAGCCTAGTGGCTATAAATCCAGTGCTGGCATTTGATAAAACTAAAACATTACGTCTGAAATTATACATGCAAATATATTTAAAATGATTAAGTCTTACTTTAGGTTGTGGCCCAACAAGTGCTAACGTTACACTCTAAAAAATGCTGGGTTGTTTTAACCCAATTTTGGGTCAAATATGGACAAACCCGAAATGTTGGGTTAAAAATGTAATGTAAAAATTTAACCCAACGGCTGGGTTAGTCCATATTTGACCCAAAGTTGGGTTAAAACAACCCAGCATTTTTTAGAGTGTACCTCTGGTTTTTAAGTTGGAACTGCTTCATGTTTTAGTAACAGTTTCTTGTTGAATCCGGCATTGAATTCGTCGAGATTCTGGAAGCTGTTTTTCTTAAAATGCGCAGCACAGAGAGCTAGGTCCTATGTCATTTTCAGTAACATAATCAAACATAAATTGTATCCATTGTTGACGAACTACAACATCCGTGGGAAGCACGGACACAGAAGACCTGACAGCTGGCTGAACGTAACACACTTTCGACAAGCCGCAGATATATGGCCATGCCCAATTTTGCATATTCCAGAAGGAGGGTTGATGTAACTGTGTGGGTTAGTGACGTCTAAAACCTGCTGTAGTCCCATTCGAGTCGTTTTTGAAGGCATTAAACTTCCTAATTTTTAAAAGACAGATATCTCTGTTTACATTGAACTTTCAGCGCTGCAACTTTGCAGATACTGTTCATGCACCTGCAGCAACATTACACACTATTTAAAATGAAAAAAAGTGAAAGCGCAATCAACCACCCCTTTAAATGGGACCCGTTCTGCCCCTTTTTACAAGGTGTAATATAAGTCTCAGTTGTCCCTAGAATGTGCCTGTGAAGTTTCAGTTTAAAATACCCCACATATAATTTATTATACTTGTTGTTGTAAAGGGGCAGTTTTGAGTGCAAAGATAAAGTGCATGTATCTTTAAATGCAAATGAGCTGCTACTCTCCACCCCACTTTTCAGAAGAGGGCTGTGCCTTTACAGCCCGTACTCTGCTAAAAACAAAAACATCTGTTTGGTTTTTGATTATCATCACGATCAAGGCTTCAAAGCAAAGTTCTCTTTTACGTCTTATTGTGCTTAAACGGTCAAATACACACAGGGAAATAAATAAATACATTTACATGTGTGTATTAGATCTGTGTATTAAGGTAAAAGCAGCATAACATACATAGGCTATGTATGTTACGCTGTTTTTACCTTAATACACAGATTGATACACAGATACACAGACTGCTGTATGCTGTTAATATGAATCAAACAACGAAAATAAAACAGAAAATCACTCACTGCTCTTGAATGAATTTCTAACGGGAATACTGCAGTTAAATATTCTGGTGAGGAAATAAACATGGCGGACTGTGTACAGCACACTTAGGGCGGAGTCTATGTTAATAGGGCAGGAGTGGGAGGGTTTTTACCATTATAGGGTGGTTGCGCACACACATTTATGTTCAAACACCATGTAAAAGTGAATTTTGCATAATAGGTCCACTTTAAATTACATTTGCAATAAGGCTGCAATTGTTTGACCAAAGCAGCTCTGAAGGAAAAACATGTAGTGAGCTTAAGTTCAGTTACACTGAACAAAACTGGTTTATAGGATTTACTTTGAAATTGCTAGTAAATTTCACAAATAATTACAAAGAAACTGCATGTAACAAATTATGAATCTTGAAAGACTAAAATTGTATTTTCTTGTAAAATGTACTCCAATAATCTTTATTTACTACAGATTTTTTTTACAAAGTGTAGTAAGGTGATCAAGTAGAGATTTTCTACGTTTAAAATGAAGGTTCCATGCCATAGTAACCTTCAACCGTTCTTAAAAGAACCATTTATTTCTTAGTGCGAAGACCATTTAATTAATCAGAAGAATCTTTTTTTCCACACAAAGAAGCTTTTGTGGAATGAAAAGGTTGGATCTTCATGTATCCACCAATGCCAAGAGGTTTTTTAAAGAGTTTTTCATGCTTCTTTAGGTAAAAAAATAGAAGCAAGGGGGAAAGATTTGAGGGCATCACCACATAAACACCTACACATGCACCCACTTATGCACGAACGCACAGAAACGCACACGCCCCAGGGTACCGCAGCATCTCCACTGCGGTGTGTCAGAACGGCTGATAATCCTAACACGTAAGCAGCTGGCAGGACGAGAGCGACATGGGAAGTTGGTTATTACTGTTATCATCATAACTATTATCATTATCAGCCCTAGCAGCAGCAGGTCCCCTTCATCTGGGAGCGGTGCGTCATACGGCTGGATCGAAACCATGAAGTGCCAGGAAGCGACCTGCGCTGAATGTAAAACAAAAAGATTGGGTGAAAATAGGGTTGATTCACTCTATTCTTTCGATTTCTCTGCCTCTCCCTTTTTCGGTCTCCCACACCCCCTCCTCCTCCTCTCTCCGCTCTTGCCCTTCTTTCAATTTGATGCTTTTCTTGCACTAGCACATATACATTTCTCTGCTTTTTAAGGATTTGGGCTGTCTCCTACTTCGTTTGGGACACTGTGCCATAATGAAGCACCAACATGTCCTGTCATACAGTGATTTTCTTTGCTTGCGCCCCCTCGCCATGTATATCACAGGGCCACGCCACTGTATGCTGGTGGGCTGAATGAACCACCAGCTGTCTTGTCTCTCTCAAACACCTTTTCTTTCTCCGTTCCTCCCCCTCTGAACGGCGTTCGAACCCCCGCAAGAGTTTATTGGCATTCTTTGGAGACTAGCATCTTATCTCTGATTGGCACGTAACGGAGGGCGAAAGGAATCGTCATATTTGGTTTTTTGGACATCTCCCACTCCGACAGCCCACAGCCTATCGCTGCAAACACCACACACAATGCCCGTCATCACGCTTTAGGGCGCCAAACCAGAGAGGGTGACTTACTGCTGCCATCAAGTGGCCTCCTGAGGAAACTAACCTGTTGCTCATAATGTTTCACAATGGATCCCACAAGTATTTGAAGGCCCAATTCTGCAGAAATAAAAAAATAAACATAAATAAATAAATAACATAATAATAGGAAAATAAAGGAATAAAAGACTATTCTTTTTTATATTCATTTATGCTTTTATTCTATTTTACATTTATTTTTACTTATCTGCGTTTTCCATAGCCCTAGAAAATCATCAGCAGACAAAACAGCATCTGGATTAATTATAACTCATAATCTATTTCCTATCTGATTCACCAAGTTCATTTAGATATGGTGGGCTATATTAAACTAATTTTTACAAAATACACGATGACTTCACTTTCTAAATCATTAGCATGTATAAAAAATTTTGTTTAAAGCAATAGAGACTGCATTTACCGGTTTCAGGCATCCCAGAGCTGTTGCTCGCTTTCTCAATAGAAAAGTAAAACGTTGTCAATAACCTGGTCTCACAGGGTTTTGAGTAAACACACTCTTCAGCAGTGGGGTAGGCTGTCTGTAAATAACATTAATGATTATGGATGTCAAGTACATAATTGACTGAGGAGGTGGACGCAGGAGGTTTATCTTTCCCAGTGGGGTTAATCAGGTTAAGTACAATGTTGGCATGTGTGCTTGACGCTAATCCTGCCTAATCTGAAGACATTATCTTGATACATATCTGAAAGGTGGAAAGATTAATGCTTCAGAAACAAAATGCAAACCAGAGATGTGACAAGAATATGTTATCTGGATTAAAAAGGACTATGTTTCTGGCTCACGTGCCTGTGGGAAAGGTCTCCTCATCCTCTTGGGGATTTTTTTTTTATACTTCATTGGATATGGCTGATCAACAACCCCTTGAACAAAACCTCTGAAACTAATTAAAATTTCATGTCGAATATATGTGTGTGTGGACGTGATTGTGGAGGCTGAATGTTTCAGGATGTGGGCTGCATGCTTACACAAGTGTGGCAGGTTCATTCTGTTCAGTATGGAGTGATCCATAAACTGGAGATGACAAGACTTAAGCATTAACATTGGCACAATGTTAAGTTATAGTTAGAGTATACTAATAACCAGTGTTGGGGAAGTTACTTTTAAAAAGTAGTGTATCTTGTTAAAAAAAGTAATCTGTTACTTTACTTATAGTTACCCTATATGGAAAGTAACTTTTTACGTTACTCGTTACTTTTATGTTCCTTGACTTTAGGCAAAACCCAATATCTGTTCCTAATTGAGTAGGCCTAGATAAAGTTCTACTTTTTGCATAATGCCATATATAATGACATAAATGCATTATGCATTTATCAAAATCTGTCAAATCTGTCAAATGGCGGCGATCACTGTCAAATCTGTCCCTGGGAAAAGGAACATTGTGCCGAATTGAAAAAGGAACTACATTTCGTTACCAAATATTCAGAAGTAATGCATTACATTACTTTTTACACAAAACTCATTGTGTACTCACAACACTGCTAATAACACACAGCTGATCCTTGACAAAAGCCATACAACTCACAAAAGAGCTTACTGTGGGCAAAACAGCCCAGTTAGACAAGAAGACACGGCTAATCAACATGTATAGCAGCCAATCACAGTTTGCTTTTACATAACAGTAAGGGAAAAGTTTATCTCATAGATTATACCACAATTAATGTTATTCCAAAATCAAATCTAAAAACAACCAAAGAAGAAGATCTGCACAAACCAGAAGGAGCGGATATAAGTTGTTTATGCAAGATTAAGCTAACGTGATCACCAAACATTCAAAAGCAAATATAAATTAAAATTGCCTAACATTAGACAAATGTCGAACCCAGGAAGAGGTGTGGGACTGTGCAATCTTTACGGGTTGATGGACTCGATCTACTCCATCTATGTTTTGATTATTGTTCTAAATTCTATCCGAATGATGTCTTTGACAAAAACGATTGTTTGAAATGTATGTTGTTGATTGTTTTGGGCTTTTAGATTTTTTAAGTTTTGATATATTGACTGCTTACATATTCATACAACAAAATATTCTGAGGGACATAAAAGCTTTGTGAAGGGAGCTCAAGGGCCACAGTTGGGAACCCCTGGGCTACGGTAGAAAAGATGATGAAATGGAAGTAGAAAAAGTTATTTTCTTCCATATTGTGCCATAAATCAGACTGAATTGAATATTGCATATAAATGAAGGTAAGTGGGGCTGGGTTTAATTGTACTAAATTAAGTTCAGAAATTGAATTCCACTGCATGGAAGATTGAGAAAAAAAATTACGAGGTCAAAACTGGTTTTATAAAGATGAAAAGCACAATAAGATCTACAACATGCATTTAGAAAATAGATAATGTGAATTTTTTTTAATTGCATGCCAACTTTAAGGCCTTGAGCTTTTGTGGCGGCGGCCTAGTGAAATCGAATCATTACAAGATGAATAACTGTTAAAATACGCAAATCAAGTATCAGTAACTGAGCATTTTTCTAAACAGGTTTTAAAGCTAATATCTAAAACTGAACAGCCTTGGAGCCTCTACTGCATTAGTGAAGACTGTTATACGTTTTCAATCCCCTTTGACTATTTTGAACCAGCTATTTGAGAATAATCATTCATAAACCATAATAGTGGAGCAAAATGCAAATAGTTAAATGTCCCCTATATACACATGTCAATGATCAGCAAAAATGAAGCTTATCTTTATGAGGCCTGAGTCCATCCTTCTCTGTAGACATTCAGACCAGAGAAGCTCTGATAAAATTCCACCATCGGATCAGTGAGCCTGATAAATGTCAGTAAACTCCAAGTTTACTCGAGTCAAAGACATAACTTTGGAAAAAAGAACAGGATGATATTTAGAGGGAGAAACCAGAATATCTCTGTACTTGACAGATTATAAGTATAGATCCAAAACTAGTGATTGATGTTGCATCTACAACTTTTTTCTTTCCAATAAGTTATAGCCAGAAAAGTTTTAGACTATTAACATCAATATTAAGTTTTTTTTTTCAACAAAACCGTTTACATAAAGGTTTTGTATAATATAGGCAAGGCCTACAATACTCCAACACAAAAACAAGACTAAACGCCTGCGGTAAATTCTGCATAATTATAATCATGCAATTTAAACTTAATTTAATATAATGAACTTGAACATAATCTTTATGGTGATTTGCAATGTAATGTAACATCCATTGCTCCACTCAGTGCTAATATCCAATTCAGTAATAGTAGTCATCAATAATGGGGTTTTTATATAAAGTGAAAAACTGAGTATTATGAATGCTAAAACACACTGATAAAACATTTATGGTTAGGATCCAATAAGCCCCACTCGTAACAGACACCACACCAAAAGCCAATCTGATCAGTTACACTGTCCTGTCAACAGGAGTGTTTCAGCCTTTGACAAGCCTCCCATCAAAAATTGTCCCTTTATTTTGATATTGTTATTGATATAAATAGTTTTCACCTGCACAGCATCCATGACAAACTTTGTGTGCAATAAAGAGCTGCTTCATTGTTGAAACGATAGAAGACAGATAGAAGACAATTTTGTTTCGGATATTTTCTGTCCTAAAGTATCCCTTTGCTATTTAAAAGTGAGAAATCAAATGATTCGGTTCGTGAGTGAACTGTCTGAATAAAGCTGAATCACTACATTTTCCCAAACCCATTGAACCGTTACATCAAAAGAGTGTTTCAGGGGAAATTATTCTGTCAGTATTAAATGTTCAGTATATGGTAATCAGTCCATCCATCGTCAGACAAGGATTTATCAGTACTATTTTACACGGGCACGGTATTTCACTCGGCTAGGTGACACTCCTGAATGCAACATTTTGCGATTGCTCTTTATTTTACAGTAGCCTAGTAGGCCTAGTTTCAGTGTACTAACCTAAGAAGGTACGTGGTAATAACTACATAGGTCAAGTTTAGATTTATGAGTAGGTTCATTATCACCCAGTTATTGTAATCACTATAATACGTAGGCCTACATAGTATATTATGTATGGAGAACAGGAGTGTAAAATAAAGTGCAACCCATTTAACTATATGTTTACAGTATATTCACAAAAAATGTCTTGTTTTTGAAAAAGGCCATTCACTAACAAGAAAGTACAATGGCACTAACTTTTTAAATACCATGTAAATATCATAATATATCTGATTCTCATACCATCATAGCAACAGCATCGCCAGCCTACTTTAATGTGCGTCATTAACACTTTACCTTGATGTAAACAATAAACAAACAAACTTAACTTGACCGACTTCAGGTAACCGCTTTTAGTTTCAGAGATGTTTATCTACAGTTTCGTCATTTTTTTAGATATAATAATTGTTTTTAAAGTGACTGAGTTAAAGTGAAAGTATGCCTTTATTTTGAATTCACTGCACAAGCGTTATATCATCCGCCCCTCTTTTACAATCATGCTACTGAAAGAAACGAGGGAAATATGTTGGGAATGGGAACGTTAATATCGTGAAACTGTTTAAGAATTGGCACTGGCGTATACAGTGTGAGTGTGTGTCTCGTTACTGATAAGAAAAGAACTGACAGTTATAAAGTGAGCATGCCGGAAGATTTTCCTTTCAGCCAATGCAGCCTTACCACAGTAAACAACAGAGGAGAAATCCACATTGATTGGAGGAAGCTGACTCAAAGACATGACCGAAGTTCACATTAGTGACACATTATTCAACTGTTGTGGTGACCAAGCATTTCTTTTCGAAATGCCTTCAAAATGGGGGATTATGCTGCTCGCTAAATCTCCGCAGTAAACAGCTTTGTGTGTGTATGTGTGAGTGATTAATTACCGGAGTTGAGTTTTCCGATCCAGAAGAGGTAATTGCTTCTGACTCATATGACACCTGCAGGTTTGCTGATAAAAAAACGATACTGCGCATGCGCTCATTTATAAAGATATAAATAATTGTTTATTTTTATACATTTCGAGAAAGTATAGAACATTGGTGGATAAAATATTTGTGGATTTCCCATTCCGAAACTTTATTTATTATTGTTTGTTTATTTCTGTGTCGATTGTCGTGTGGCTCTGGAGAATGGAGCGGAGGAGTAACGTTAGAGCTCGTGTAGCGGTGATAGGGGCTGGACCGGCAGGTCTTTGCGCCGCTCGACACATCCTGTCTAGGCCCAAGACCTTTGATCCACCCGTGGTGTATGAAACGACTGATCATTTAGGTGGGACCTGGTTCTATGAGGAACGAGTGGGCCCACATGACAATGGGTATCCCATCCACAGCAGTATGTATAGGGACCTCAGGTAGAGAACAACTAATAAATTGTGCATAATCCTGCTGAGAATAAGAAGGCACTTTAAACCTTGTGGTTTTCCTCACTTTTGGGTTTAGACTAGTCTACTGTAGATCTCCCAAACTAAGAAGCTGAACCATAGGCTATTAAAGTTATCATGAAATGGAAGTTGCAATAGTTTTTACAACTCCGTCCCCCTCTTTGGATGGAATGAGTGGAGCTTGACTCAAAATGAATGTGCATAGATGAATCATTTATAATAAATATTTCATTAAAAAAACAAGAATTGTAAATTAACTTTATGGTGACTTTAAGCAAATATCCTACCAAAATAATGTGTTCTTAATAAGCGCATACCAACAAAACAAAGTGAGCAATTGACAGACCTGACCAAGCGGCCAGAACAAACAAGTCTAGGTTTAAGATGTGCCTTTTTTATTTTGAGCAGGCAATTTATTTGTTTTTCATTTGTGTCCAATTTTCATGCAACTT